ATTTTAATGTGTCAGCCGCTTCTGAAGTAAACAGCTCATCGTAGCTGTATCTTTAAATGTTACCACAACTTCATTTAAAAAAAAAAAAAGCTTTAGGTTGGGTGGCTAAAGGTCTCAACAAGTTACTGTTTTCCTCTTGTCTTGCTTTCTGCTCGAAGCATGTCACTGTTTTGTTTATTGCTCAAATCTAAGAAAAAAAAAATTAGATGGCTTTGGAGTGATAGCTGATCTTTGAAAGATGGGGCTTCTAATTCTTGTGTGAATTCATCAGTAGTGTGATCCAGATTCAAACTGAGTAGCTATAGAGTGGCCTTTTTTTTGTTCCTCTTGGACCTCTTGATTCTATATGTTGGTACCCTTCTATATGTCATTATAAACCCCTTTGAACCTTCCTCTGCTTTCAGGGGTGGGATGGGCCATACTTTCTGAAGAGTGTATTAAGACTAATATGTCCCAATGATGAAACATACTAATCTTTTTTCATTTTGTTTTCCAGGATGGAGATATGATTAAGAAGCCACCCTCCAGGGACCTGGCAAGCAAGAAGTGCCAGCAGGTGCTGATGGAGCTGGAAGGAGTGCTCCAGCACTTGGAAGTAATGTTTAGTTTGACGTTGGTTCCTCGGGTTCTTATTCTACTTGGAGGCAATGTCATGAGCCCCAAGGAGCTCTATGAGCTCAACTTGGAGGGTATCTGTGAGGGCAGTGCTGAGGAGAGCCTGAAAACTGCATCCTGTGTTCGCAAGCTCTTTCACTCGCTCTTTGTTGCGGATGTCTTCAGTGAACTTAAGGCTCTCCCTGTCATGGGCACTGTTGTTATGGTCCAAGGACACCGTGATTGTGGTGTTGATTGGTTCCGGCCCAAGCTCAACTATAGAGTGCCGTCCCGAGGGAGGAAACTAACTATTAACTTGTCCTGTGATGGAGACATCAACATAAGTGCCTCGCCTCCTCAGTATATGACTCCTACTTGGGAGGACTACGTCTGGTTTCAAGCACCAGTGACACTCAAAGGCTTACATGAATGACCTGTGTTCTGTAGAACTTTAATGAAATATTGAATAACCTTTGGTGCTGCTTTAATTGATAATAACTTTATCAAATATAACTGCATATTCTTGTCTGTCTGGATCTCTTCTCAAGGGCATCTACTGCCTTCCTGTAGCTCAACTGTGTTCATCTGTCTTCATCTCCTGAATTCTTGTTGAAAGCAAATACCCTTTAAGGCACAGCTGCACACAGATACAGTGATTCTTTAGGGACTTGAGTTGTGGCAGAGGAGATGAATTAGTATGCTGGGAGCAAAACTTTCCTGCTGTGTGCTCACTGAACTGGCAAATATTGAATACAGTCTTCTTTCTCCTGAGTTTTCATGCAACCATTTCTCTGGTAATAATCACTACAGTAGCTGATTGGGACTCTAGATAATGTACGTGATTATTAATACACTTGGCTTTTACTATAAATGCCATAACCATTCTTACCTACCCTGTTGCTATAAAAGGAGACCTTTCCCTGCAGTCTGATCAGGCTTGAGTACTCAAGCCCATCTATTTGATAAAATTAGACTTTCTCATAACTCAGTTTCAGTTATTTAACAATCCAAAGAGTTGGACTTCTCAGCAGTTGCTGAGGTCTTGTACCTAGCACTGTATTGTACTGGTCATGAAAAGAGATTGAGCAGTCCTGTGAAGGGAGAGAGGCACATCTTCCTTTTTTTTTTTTTTTTTTTGCTAACCTTTAGTCCAACAGCCCTGACAATCAGTTAGATACACAGTTAAAATGAAAAGTAAGCAGTTTCTGCTCTAACCCTCTTCAGAGGAAGTCAGGACTCCTGCATCAATATGCTAGCTTATTCTCACTTAAAACAATAACAAAAAAGTTAGTTTCTTGCTTACTTTTACCTCTTGGAAGTCTTAGAATCTAAATGTTTCTGAAATATGAAGAAAAGGTGAGCGGAGGTGTGATCAAGTTCAGCACTATCTTTACCTTTCAAGTTCCTGTTCCAAGTCAGAATGTGTTACTTGGAAGCAGAACTCGAGCCTTTTTTCTGGCCTGGTATCTAGTGCAGAAGGGGAGGGAGAGAAACCCTTAGAGCGCAGTGTGTCAGAACTAGATATCTGCTGGAGTTATCTTCAGTCAGCTGAGTATGTATCTGTAACGTAATGAGCTTAATAGCTCTGTCCCATTTGAAGAGAAACTTGAGCCTACTGGTAGCGAGGTTGCTTGCGGTTTCTTGCTAGCAAAAGCTGCACGATGGGGTAGTAAAAATCTGTTGAAAGGAGGATAAGGCATGAAGAAACCTCTACACTTGTATTTTAACTTTTGGAATGGAATGAGATCATAGAACTAGGAGGAAAGTAAGTTGATATTTTTGAGCTTGGAGAACACTAGGAGTGCTGCCTCTGCCTTATTATCCATTAACAACCGTTTACAATGTGTAGTAACTGCTAAAGCTAGCTGTAGGGGAAAAACAGCTAGAATGAAGAAAGCTGCCTTATGTGCAGCTGCCCACTTGACTATGTAATCGCGTGTCTCTTGAATGAAATATAACTTGAACGTAGGAGTGTTTGTGCTCAGGAGATCAAAACCCTTTACGCTTCCACCAAAGCTGCTTGTAATGCATATTTAAGAATGCTAGCACTCAAGTATTTCAAGAAGCTTTTGAACAGAAGCTTTAGTTCTGAGGAACAAGGGGCCAGTTCCTTTCTACTCTCTTCCCCAAATGAGTGCAATGTTACTGCATTAAACTGTTTACATATTCTGTTATACTTGAACTATGAATGCAGCAATAATATGGTGCCGGGAATGAAAGAAGACAAGATGCTTTTTTTTTTTATGAAGAGCTTGATTAACAAGTTTAGTAGTATAATCATTATCAAAATAAAATGCTGGCTTCTGTATGTGATTACATTGGTTTTATTTAATCCCTCAAAGTAAAGGTTCTGCTGGTGGCAGAACAACTTGCTTCCATTCTATATATGTATCTAAACTGCAGGTTCACAGCTGTTCCACCTTTCTGACAAAGTGCATGATGTCTTGTGCCAGAAGCTTTGGTTCCTCAAAGGCAGCAAAATGCCCTCCACGTGGCATGTAAGAGTAAGTGATGATGTTCCTGTAGATCTCCTTTGCCCAGGTGCGTGGTGTATGTACTATCTCCTGAGGAAAAGCTGCAATCCCTGTGGGCACATATACTCGAGCCCTAGAAGACATTAGTTAACTGCATTTTTGAAAGAAGTCCTGGGGACAGTTTATAAGAACCTTCTGATTCTGGGAACTGCCACAGTCATCTGGAGAAGTTTCACCACAGCAACCCATTTGATGGTCTGTACTCTGCTGGAGAGCTTTGCCTGTATTTGGATCTCCTTGAGTTTAAGAATGTTATACTCAAGGATACGTAAAGTAGAGCCAACTTTGCACACAGTTCAATGTTGAAATGCTTCAGATTTTTAAGCTTACCTTGTTTTGTAGTTGTGTGATATGTGGCAAGATGCCACACCTCTTTGTGAAAGTCAGAAATGAGCTAGCTCATGTTTACTTTAGAATTTATGGTACTAGTGTTACAAATGACTCTCTCAAGAGGAAAGCTAAACTGGTTCAGTCTACAAAGAAAAAGACTTTCCTATTGATTTGTATGATCAATCACTTGGAGAATTCTGCTCAGCAGCATTTTCCTGGTCAGCCTCTCTTACAGTCACCTTAAAGCCAGTGGCTGTTACCAGGTGCTTGGTTTCAAGTACTGCTCTCCAAATTGCTTCCCCAAGTTTATGCTTAACAGTTCTGGTTCTTAGTTTATCCACCAATAAGCCATATCCCTCCTAATTCAGTTTAAGCTTCTCTCTCAGAAATACTCATGACTTTCTGTTTTGTTTTTACTGAACCAAGCCACAGATTACATTTCTTTGGTGTATTTTGAACAAAAAGAAGACTGACTATAGTTTGATAAGGCTTCTGCATTGTCTTGGCCACAAGCTACCTTGTGTGAATTATAGGTTCAAAAGAAAAGTGACCCTTAACTATATTTATCAAAAGAACATAAGAACTTGGATTTTTTTTTTTTTGAACTAGTTAAATTTGCTGTTGTAAGTGATCTAAATGTTTATACAGGCAAATGTGGTTCAATCTCATTTGCAAATCTGTCTTGCGCCTGCCACTTTGTTACCTGGCGTTCGCAGTCATAGTAGGGTCCTTGGAGATGTTCTCCTTGTAGAATCGCATTGAGGACACAATGGAGGATGTCACCCAATAAATCATCACATTGGTCAAAAGCTCATCAAGAGAGTATTTGCTGTTGAGAGAGAAAGATGAAGAAACTTCACTGGAAGCTGTTTCTCAATACGCTATATTGGGTTCATGCCCTGAAGAACAGTTGTTCCTCTTGTTCTCTACTCATTTTCAAGCAGCAAATTAATCGGCACCCATGTGCCCAGAGGAAAACTGCCTGCTGCTGAAGCAGTAGTTTGTAGGCAGTCTGCTATAAGTTTAAACTATTACTTGTCATCTGTAATCTTTCATCCTTAAAATTCAGCTTTGACTGGCCAGTCTTTTACCTATCTCCTTATTAGTTATCATCACTCATTCTTTTAATGAGTCTTCTCATGGAAGAACATCTGTTTTCTTACCTTTCCAAGCCTCCATCATCTTTATGCAGAAATGATTTATCTGTCCAGGTAGAGAATTTCTCCAAAATATATGCAGCAAGCCCCACAGGGGAGTCATTCAGTCCACAACCTAATTCAGGAGAAGAATGGGAGAGCTATTGCAGTTGCCTGGCATTGCAAAACTTCAGTGGAAGCTAAACTGGACTTTCATGAATTCTTCAGAGTTTTCTATGAGAACTGAGTAGAGAGTCTGTATTTTACTAGCCCTGGTAGTACTTTATTCTTGACAAATTTACCCCAATGGAATTCCAGCTGTAACTGACAGCACTATGATCTCGGGTAATTCCTATACAAAAGAAGCTAGGAGCTAAGAAAGTCCTGTTGCCCAGGGAGCAAATTCAGATGTAAAGGGATTATGCTCTGAAAAGAAATTTCAGATAAACTATTTGGGAGCACTGTCCTGCTTAGGGTGGATAACCAGGATGCTGAGTGCTGTTCATCACTTTTTATCTAATTTAAGCAGTGGAGTGCTGTGTATCTGTTATCTATTCCTGCCTTTGGGGAACACTAACAAACATTATAAAGACAGCAGGTACACAGCATATTGTATCTGTGTTCTTACCTGTAAAACAGGGATAGGGATTACTTCAGTAGTAAGTAGTAGCTTGCCTCGAGAAAATCCCTGTACTCATACCCTAGGGTGTAGTTTTACAGTATACTCAGTATTGCCTACTCTCAAGTGTATTTTAGTGTGACTTTAGCACTGAGTGACTGTGTAGAAGATGATGCACAGCGTGGTCTCACTTTAATAGTGGACATAGCTAACGCAAAGTAAGTTTGTGCATTGGCACAACAGTTTCCCTGCACTGGCAGGCCTAGAGTGATTTGCTACAGATCAAAGTAATCTAAATGCTTTGACCAGCGATGGTAGGGCAGGCTAAAGTGTGCCAGCTAGCACACGACCTGTCTGGAGATGAGCATTTTCTGGGCTGAAAGTTGCCTCTGAGCCACTATATTCAATGTCCGTGGATTAGACGCTTAGAAATACCAGTCTTGTTTGCGGCTTGTTAGTCATTTAACCTGTACCACATCTTAGGTACCACAACTTCTGGTGACTGAAAATACTTTAGCTTTGCTTTAAACCTGCCTAATAAGAACTAAACTGATAATGTAAATATTTCTTGAGAGTGAGTAGGGAATAAATTTCTTTCCCCCATTCATTCTCTACATTTCACAATTTTAGTGTGCTACAAAATCCCTGCTCTTCTGTTTCCAGTTTGAAGAGTCCCAGACTATGTACAGTGCTTGTACGGAAGCTGCTCGGTCTCTTCAGTCTTCCTTTTCTCCCCTTCCTGTATTCTTCTGATTCTAAAATACATTTATGAAACAGGGTAAAGAGGGGTGCAACAAATTCTGAATATTGTGGA